GACAGACACACTCACACACACACACACACACACACACACACACATATATATATATATATATATGTGTGAAACTTTTTTTTTTTCAAATGTAAGACTCCTCTAACTCTTACTCAGAAGCTGTTTTTATATACCTTTTTTTGTATGTTATTAAGAACTGCATTGGTAAAAAGTTATTTTCTTTTGAAAACCAAACAAAATCATTGATTGTAGGTTAGTAACAAACCAATGATGAAATATAATGAACATAGTTCTAGATACTTTGATATATAATCAGTATCATATTTTTTTTAATGTATTTTATTGCAAACCATCATTTATTCGGGTGTAAGAAAATTTTTACAGATTATAGTTAGTAAAGTGACTGTCATCATTAACCAACTTTAAGGACTTGTAATTATTTATATATTATTACTTAGTAGAATAATTATGGTTAAGAAAGTTTTAAACTGGATGAACTTTTCATTTCATAGTAAATGTTTACAGAAAGTTGCCAGGTGGTTAGGGCACTCAACTCGCAATCTGAGGGTCGCAGGTTCGAATGCCCGTCACACCAAACATGCTCGCCCCCTTTCAGCCGTGGGGGCGTTATAATGTGACGGTCAATCCCACTATTCGCTGGTAAAAGAGTAGCCCAAGAGTTGGCGGTGGGTGGTGATGACTAGCTGCCTTCCCTCTAGCCTTACACTGCTAAATTAGGAATGACTAGCGCAGATAGCCCTCGTGTAGCTTTGCGCGAAATTAAAAAACAAACAAACAGAAAGTTGCCACTCATCATATACACCAAAGAAATCTATCATTATTATTATACTACTCAACAAGATAACTCTGTTTTGGTTAACAAAACAATAAATAAACTTGAAGGATAGAATGTGTCCATAAATTTAAGTCAGTTGTATTAAAAAATCTGCTTTTAGAGAAAAAGTTTTTTTGTTTTCAATGTAAGGATGTAATTTCCAAAGATAAGAAATTATCCAGTACAAATTATTCATTGTTAATATCCTCTGGTCTCAAACTACGTCCTTGCTAAATGAAATAGTATGGTAATCTAATTTTGTGCACTCCCAGTAAGCAGGATTGATCCCAAGACATCTCTTGCTCCTCAGGCAAGTGCTATACGAACTGAACTAAAGAATTATAGTAAGACATTTCTTGACAACTGACTTTGGGAGTAAATGGTATATGTACCACTAGGTGACTGTCCTCTATAGTAAAATAACAGAGGTAACTGAGTCAGGAAAAGGCATCAAGAGTGACTCACCAACTATTCAATGTGTATATATTGTTGCATCTCGCTCTGTTGAGTAAAAGTTGAGGGTGAAGTGCGAGTAAGGATTCCAGCAAGTCTCGTAAAGGTCAGCTATAAAACAGAAAAACCAATCTTACCTTGTTCACTTCAAATTGGGAGTGTATTTCAAACTACTTCAAAAATTTATCATTTTGAAATGGCTTATATTTTCCATAAAGTCATCTAAACTATGGTAAAATTTGTATCTCTTCACTGATAACAACAGTGAGCAGTAAACTAGTCTGTTGGCATGGAATAGAATAACTTGTAGTTCTTATGGTCCCTGATATACATGTACGGTAGTTAGGCCCTCTTTCAGTTGCTCGTGCTACATCAATTTCAACCAATCTAAGTATTAAGTAGACAATTTCGGGCTGGCATGGCCAGGTGGTTAGGGCGCTCGACTTGCAATCTGAGGTCGCGGGTTCGAATGCCCATCACACCAAACATGCTCGCCCCTTTCAGCCGTTGGGGCATTATAATGTGATGGTCAATCCCACTATTAGTAGGTAAAAGAGTAGCCCAAGAGTTGGCGGTGGGTGGTGATGACTAGCTGCCTTCCCTCTAGTCTTACACTACTAAATTAGGGACGAATAGCGCAGATAGCCCTCGTGTAGCTTTGCGCGAAATCCGTAACAAACAAACAGACAACTTCATATTCCATTTAAACGTGGAACACAATACATTATTTGTTTTCAACAATAAGATGTCGTGAAAGTTGCAAATACAAGTCCTATGACTGGCTTCATAACTTAATGAATTTGCGAACAACTTAGACTTCCTTGTTTCAGTTTAGCCTGAGTGGTCACAAGTAAATAGACACCTAATTTTTCATCATTTAACTGATTTATGTTAACTAATTTGTGTTCACAGAGCACTATATAAATGAAAATGGTCCGCACACTAATTGTCTTGTGCTACAACATGCCTAGAACTCAAGGTTCTCTCGAATTGTCAGATTTTGTTACAGGAAGAATAGTTGGTCAAGCAGATGGTGGAATAAGTCAGCGGCAAATTTTGCAGAATTTGGGAATCCCACTTTCGACAGTTAACAGAATCATCGTGCAGTTCGGGAAACAACTGAGCAGCGTCCGGGTCGTTCCTGGTTCATCGGAGAGGACAAAAAGGACTGTCAAGAGGAGCATCAAAATGGATCCCAGATTAACGACTGCAGAAGTGGCT